AAGCTAGCCACAGACAGACCAGTTAATACCATCTGTGTTACATACCTTCTTGTCCTGAAAATTTGTGAAGTTTATTCTGTAGTCTGTACACATTTTTCACTACAAGAAAATTTACATTTAGTGACTAAATTATTGATCATTAAATCTTTATTTTTCGTCACAAATTATTATTAATGATAAAATTTAAACCGTTAATAAAGTCCTTGTCACTAATGCTCTTAATGACAAATTAAACACCTGTCACAAAAAATAATTTTATAGTGATAGAAAAAATTGATATTGTTAACAAGTTATTTATAACAATTTTATTTGTCATAAAAAAATATTTGTCACAAATGCATTTATGATGCAAAATTTAGTCATTAATTATTAAAATTGATATTAAATAAAAAAGATATTTATATAATTACAACACAAATATTCTAACAAAAATTTTGTCACAAAAAAATAATATATAAATTTATCACAAAAGTTTAATAAAAAATATTATTATTTCAATACTAATCAATTTTGATTAAAATTAATCAAATCTGATTAAAATTAATCAAGCCAAACCCGATTAAAATTAATCAGGTCCAAACTAATCTCAAGTATTAATGAGTTTCACATGTTTTATAGTGTAAAAATTTATTTTCTTAAATATTTTTTATCGATGTGGGATATATTTATAGTGTAAAATCTTATTCTCTTATGTGTTTTTTATCAATGTTGGATGCATTGATTAGAGAAAATTGACAGTTTTTAGTGACAAAATATATTTTTTAGTGATAAATTATTTGGTCATCATTGAATATGTAGGGTATATGTGACTAATATTAGAATTTTGTCATAATTGTAATGCATTATAATGATAATTTTTTATCGATAAAAACTTATTTTATCTCTATGAACATTTTTCGGTGACAAAATATATTTTTTATGATGAATTTTTTTTTCATCATTAAATATGTATGCATTTATGACTAATTTTTTAAATCTGTCACAATTATAATAAGTTATAACGATAAGTTATAGTGATAATTTTAAAATTTATCATAAATTTTTGTCACTAAAAATCATTTTTCTTGTAGCGTTTTTTTATTCCAATCGTTTTAACGAACTTTTTTAATTAAGGTTTCATAAGCATCGATTGCGGGCAGCTGAGGATTAGTAAGAAAAGTGGTGTCTACAGCTTTAGGAATAATTCTAATAGAATTGGTCAGTTGTTGACCTATCATAACAAGAGGGGAAGGATACAATATTAGTATAATTGAGGGGCAATGATACAGTACATGAAAAAAGAAAGCGAAATCATGTGACGAATGACATGTCATTAATATATAAATTTTTTAAAAATTTAAATCAAGTAATTTTACTAAGGTGGCATATCACTTTATAGTCATCTCATTAAATCATCTCGTCTTTTCCGTCTTTTTTACCATTATTCATAATTGAGTGGATTAATCCTTCGATTGAAAAGAATGAACCTCCAGAGCATCACTGATCCAAGTTTACAAGGTGAATTCAACATCAATGCAGTTTGGAAAGCAATGGAGATAGCAATGTCATGTGTCCAGAGGCGAACATGAGTCATGTATTATCAGAACTTAAGGAGTGCTTGGTTTAGAAATGTGTTCCATAGAAACTCAAAGGACACAAGCCAAAAGTAATTCACTTGAAATCAGTGTTCCTCTTCCAAAGTAGTTCAATAGACAATGCTTAGTGGAATTGTAGATATGATTCCCCCTTGTTCTCTAAGGCTATAAGACACAGATGGAATGGTATGCCCTTTTCATGATGACTTTACAGGCTGGGTGTTTTCTTATTTTTATTATTTATTAATTATTTATTTTTCTATTCCAAACTAGAAAAAATATATTGGACGTTTTAGCTGGGAAAATTTTGTATTGTTTCTGATTATTGACGTTTTAAGATTTCTGAGTTGTATTAATTTCTTTCTTCCAATTTTACCCTCCGTACCTTCCCAAAACACCAAAGATAAAATTTATGCTGGTAGAATTATCTGGCTTTTTCCTTCTAAATAAAACCGCGTTTTGAAAGCAACTTTTCTCAGCCTTTGGAACTAAAAATGGATTTTTTTTCACATCACAATTATTGGGGGCAGAAGCCTGTAATTTCCAGTTGATTTAGGAAAATTAGGAACAAGGGACAAAGAGCATTGCAT